TTTGTAAATAGATCAGTATAAAAACAAACAAACAAATAAAATTCTTATCTACTAGGAGCAACCTGGTTTCACCTTTTCCAGACAGCCTGTTCTCTTGGAAGTCTGTGGGTTGTTTAATACTCTTCTGAGAGAGTGGCTTTTCTCTTAGGGAATTTACAACCTTAGGTGAAGAAATTTGATGTAGGTATAAAGACATAATTGGCAATGTAAGAGTTCATTTGTTACATGCCAGTGTGTTATATAGATGAAAGGGTTGTAGAAATTTATAGAGAAAAGGGGAGATAGTTGATCAAGCAGGACTAAAAAGGGACATAGGTTTGAGTTAAAAATCTCATGGTTAAAATATTGCAGACAGCTGATCACAGATGGTTTTTCCTCCTCCCTACTTTTAACACACACACACACACACACACACACACACACACACAGGCGTAGGGACGGCAGGGGAAGGGAGAGAAGGAGAGGCATACTCAATTTTTGTTACTATTTCCATTACTGCTATCTTCATTTGACTCCCAAATTACTGGGGCTCACGACTATGTGTTCCTCCTCCAGTCTTTGAAACAATATAAACACTTTCTACTACAGATCATTTTTCTTCACATAGATTATTCATTAGAGGACTACTCTACCCTATGTTTTTACATAGACTGTTATTTGGCGGTACTCTTGTTAGTGTGTGATTTGTACTACTCAGGTGTTTTCTTAATCCGGTTTATGCTTGTCCTAGATTAGTCTGTCTCAGACATAATGCTGTCGTAGTGAAACTGCTATATTATATGCTGGGCATATAAATTTGTTGAATCTTTATACAGGACCAAACTTTGAAATGGGTATGTGCTTAGTTAAACATACTATTCTGCTTGTGAGAATTAGTTCAAGGGACAGTTAAAATATGGACCAGAATTACAACTAATTCTATTACTAATTTTTTTCTATTTATAAAACAGACTAGATCTTCCTAATTTGTCCTTCAAAAGGAGGCACTGTGAACTATTGGGGAACTTTTAAAAATTATGAACATAGAAAAAAATGCATGAATGTATTTATTCAGGAGTTCTCATGGTGTAGTCCTTAGGGAGTGGCCCTGCTAATTCGAAGACGGCCCCCTCTCTTGAGGTTCAAATCCACCAGCCACTCTATCCATCTCTTCCCATGGGGTTTATAGCCTCCTTAAGACCTGCTGGAGGGTTAGTTATCAGTTGATTCTGGATTGACTGCAGTGGGTTTAAGATGCATTTATTTACTTGTGAGCATTAAAAAAAAGTGAAGAGACAACAGTGGTGCAGTATTTTAAATCTTAGATTTGGCCTTGGTTTTGCCTTTAAGCATCTCTAATAGCTTGCTTTCTCTCACAGAGCAGTCCTCTGGCTTGGCAGGACCACCACTTACCTACTTGGCTGAACAGACTTGACGGCACATAACCAATGACTTTCTATTGCCAGCAAGTGTTCACCTTCAACTTTCAGAAAGAGGAGACTCTATCAACTTAGTCTTGAATGATATTCATTTCTATAGAAATATGAGACATTCCTGATTATTTTTCTTTCTCTTTGGCTGGATTATGCCCATTTCCCAGCTCATTCTCAGCTGTGCTCAGGTTATATGCTTCCTTCATTAGTTACCCTTTGTCCAGCTTTCTTTAAGCTCACTTTCTAGTCTTTTTAAAAGTCCTACTTCCATTTCAATCCTTTATGCATCCTTTCCTGATTATCTCGGGCTACAGGGCTGTGGTATGTTTTTAGTAAACAGGTGTTCTGGAAAAGAATCTGGATTCAACAGAGGGACTAGGAGAGAACAGGTCCTGAGAAAACCTGTGAAATAAGATTTGAGTCTTGGTGATCTGTTTTCAACTGATCCTTGGGACTTTGTTTGTTTCTACTTAATATCTTTTTTCTCTAAAAATATTAATATCTCAGAGCTGACTTTTTAGAGCTGACAGTTTTCCTCTAAAGGATACTATCTTTTAGAGCTGAGTAGGGTGGAAGTCATGATAGTTGCTGAGCATCACATTTTCTCCAAGACGATCTAGGCCAAATCCAAAGGCTGATGCTTCATCTGGAGTATAATACTTTATCTTCTTTCTTTGCTTTTCCTCAGCCACTCCTAATCCCTCTTCACCAAAGACATATTATTTCCCCTTCTCCACTTTCTGTTGAATCCGTTTTGACTCAGTGACACGGTATATAACAGGACGAAACCTTGCCCACTCCTGTGCCATCCTTACCGTCTGCTATGTACTTAAACTCGTTGTTGCAATCATCGCGTCAGTCTATTGTATTGAGTCCTCTTTTTTTCATGGACCCTTTGTTGTTGTTGTTGTTAAGTGCCGTCGAGTCGCAGGCGGACTCATAGCGACCCTATGAAGGAGAGTCCTTGACGCTTGGGTGCCTTTCATCCTCTCTCCAGGTTGTTAGGGTTTCTGGAGGCAAGCTATTATTGAAGTGGACGCCACTCCTCCTTCCACGCTTGTTTAATCAGGGAGCTCCACCCCACTCTCAGTCCGCATTGGGTAGCCAACCATTAACGCATTTGACACATCCTTGTCACAGTGTTCAGCAATATTCTTTTCAATTTGAAGGACCAGCTGCTCCTGAGAGCATGCCCAGAGTGTGTGAGATGAAGTCCCACTGTGCTTCTAAGGAGCGCTCTGACGGTACTTCCTCAAATCACAGATGGATTTGTGCTTTTGGCAGTCCGTGGTGTAACCAGTACTCTTCCCCACCAACCAACTTCAAAAGCATCCGCTTACTGTGGATCTCCCTTATTTATTATCCAACTTTCACATCTATAACAAAGACTTAAAAATAACATGACCTGAGTTGGCTCACCTTACTCTTTAAAGTGATAAAATTGCTCTTTGCATTTTAAAGAGGTCTTTGACAGTGGATTTTTCTTAGTAAAGTATGTTATTTAATTCTTGACTGTTACTTTGATAGGTGCTAATTTTGCATCCAAATAAAGTGAAATTCTTGACATCTTCAATATTTTCTGCATGTATAATAATGTTGCTTATAGGTCCAGTAATGTGGGGTTTTTATGTTAAAATATAACCTATACTGAAGGCTAAATGGAAGTCTTTGGAATTCCATAAAAGTTCCAGTTCTTCTTCACTTTCTGTAAACTGGGTTACTTCATCTGCATAACACAAGTTGTTGATGTGTCTTCCTCTAATTCTGATGCCACATTTTTCTTTATATAGTCCAGCTTCTTGGATTATATGCTCAATTTGTAAATTGAGTAGGTATAATGAAAGGCACATCTTTCTTGATTTTAAAATTACCTGTATCCCCTTGTTCAAAATTATAACCTGTGTCAAATTATAACTTGTGTCTGAAGTTACCATGTGTGCTGAATTGCCTTAATTTATTACTCTGTCAAACACTGTAATATCAGGTTTTCTATAACGTTATGTGTTTAACCAATAGATCAGATGTTCAGTTCTCTAGTATTTGTTTTGAACACTTAGAAATTATGCATTACCAATGTTAGTGGTGTGTAGGAACAGAAACAAAGAGTTAAAACTCATCTAACTTCACACAATAACTTTGGACACAGGCTATAGTTTGTAGAATGAAATTTGTGTAGAAATGATGAGGGAACACTGCTGGTTCAAAATCCAGAAAGGAGTGTATCATGGATGTATCCTTTTTCCAAACCTTTTCAATCTGTATGTAGCATTGATCATTTGGGAGGCTGGACTTGAGGAAGAAGAATGTGACATCAGGATTGGAGGAAGACTTGTCAACAACCTGTATTGTACAGATAATACTATTTTGCTTGCCAAAATTGAGGAATAACTGAAGTGTTTGCTGTAGAGGGTCAAGGACTGTGGTCTTTAATATGGAGTACATCTCAATATCAAGGAAAAAAAAAGCGAGAGAGATCCTTACCCCTGGGCCAATTAGTAGTTAAGATAGATGGAGAAAAGATTAAGATTGTTAACCGTTTGACCTTACTTTAGTCCACAATAACACTCTTAACATCAGCCATCAGGAAATCAAAAGATGAGTTCCTTTGGCAATGTCTGCTCTCAGGGACCTCCCCAGAATGCTAAAGAGCAATGGTGTCAGTCTTAAGACTAAGGTGCACTTGATCCAGGCCATGGTCTTTTTAATTACCTGCTATCCATCTAAGAGTTCGACAGTGACTAAGGATGACAGAAGAATTGATGCCTTTGAGTTGTTGTACTGGGTAAAAGTATTGAACATTTCATGGATTGCCAAGAGAACAAACAGGTCTGTCCTGAATAGGGTAAAATCAGTCTAGAGGTTAAGATTTTGACACTCCATCGCACATACGTTAAGCATGTTGGTAGGATGGACCAATCAACCCTTGGAGAAGGACATCATACTTGCAAGAGTAAAGGGTCAGCACGAGACAGGAAGGCCCTGGATGAGATGGATTGATATAGTGTCTGTGGCAAATAGGAGCAAGTGTGTCAGAGACGATGAGATTGGCTCAGGACAGAGCAGCATTCGGAGCTATTGTTCATAGGATTGCTATAAATTGTAGTCGAGTTGATGGTACATAAAACAAAAGCAACTATGATACTAGATTCACCTCCAAAACTGAAAAGTGTATTTTTACTTCTACTTTTTGCGATTAAAATATGATCATATTAGTTATCAACATCATTCCACGTAATTATCAGAGAATGGTACTGTATACATTATTTTTCCTTCCATGTGAATCCCATTATGTATTGTCTGAAAGTTGTCGAATATTTTCCAATAAATACTATCTTATCTCCTTTGGAACTGAAAAACAACTAAAACTTTCTTATTAGATAGTAATTCTGGTGTGGAAGATTAGGATCTGTACTTTACCTGTAAGCATGCATGATTTTTTACCAAAATAGGACAACATCTATTAGCTTTACATGTGTGTAAAAGGTTAATAACTTTTAATACTTTTCATGAATTAACTTTTCTGTAGGAGGATGTTCACAGTTGAAATTCTTGAATTAATTTACCCGTGTTTATTTTATTTTCCTCCAGCTCTTGTGAATGTGAAACTCTGGGCCATTGATCGACAATGTTTTCAAACAATAATGATGAGAACAGGACTTATCAAGCATACCGAGTATATGGAATTTTTGAAAAGGTAGGATACTTTCTTCTTCTCTTGTGAGCATTTATTTTATTGTCCTTTGATTCTCTTATCTGAAATTATTGTGCACAGAGGACTTTATGCCCATATCTCAGCCTTAATGGAATGCAGACTTGTGGAAATGTAGGTGTTGGTCTAGCTTCTTTCTATTCCCAATGCTAATTTTCATATGTGATTCAGTCAGAACTTCAAAAGCTCTTCACATGTATTCAGCTATTCAAAATCATCTCAATGGAAGAGTTCAGCTCCGAGAAACATGGGCATTTTCTGGAACAAAAAAAGAATATTTAGCTCATTCCTCACTTTTTGTTGATTAATACATTTATGGACCTTTTCTAAACCCACCCACACTGTGACACTGAGTCATCCCTTGTGTGAAGTTTCGTATTAAAGGTCAAATGAGTAAGATGGAAAGTTTCCAAGAAGCAGCTTATTATCCTTTAATCCCAAATTTAATTTCTCAAATTAAATTCACTTTATATTGCAGTTCTCAACTATCAAAAGCTTTTTATTTTATTGCTATTTTAACTTGCCATAACAACTTAATATAGGATGGAAATTTGGAGTGAAAAGCTGGCTTTTTTTTAGTAATTCACGTGAAAGTAATTGAAATGACTTTTATATCTTAAAGGTTATTTTATCTTAAAGAAAAATATTTTATTATTGAAAAGAATATCGACAATCCTGGTGACTTCTTTCCCCCCAAAGTACTTACTCATTTCCCCCCCAGTGAAACTACAAATAGAAAATGATGCATGGATAATGTAAGATAAGGTGACATGTAATAATAATTAGGATTTTAGTTTTTTAATTTAATTTTTTTAAAAATTAATTTTAATGAATGTTTACAGAGATTTTGGGTTTCCATGCATGCATTGTTACATTTTTCTCCCTGCTCACCCCTCCCTGCAGTTCGCACTTCTCTTTGAAAAGTAAAAGAAAAATTATTTCATTGGTATACAATCCCCATCCCACCCCCTACCCCCACCCCAAGTACACTCCACTGTGCAACCTTCGTTTTGGACTCTTGTCATAACCGTAATACCCAATCATATATCGCTTTCAAACAGTTCTCTCCCGCATCTGTTTCAATGCAGTATACATAATTTATCCAATTTTTCTCAGTCTCACCCGAACCCTAATGTCAGTCCCGTTCTAGAATAGTGGCACCATAATAATTAGGAATTCGTTTTTAAGAACTAGAATATTGACATTTTCATTTTAAAGTTTCAGTTTGGTAAGTAGATGGTTAAAATGGACTGAGAGAAAAAATTCTCATTTTGTTCCAGGTGCATATCTTAACAGATATCTATGGAGTTGCTTTAAAGTTCAATTTTAATATTCCTTGCTTGGTTATTTTCTGCTGTTGATTTATTTTGTTCCTGCTTCATCTTTTATACATTTCTCATTTCTATTTAAAATCTTCTCTTTATATCCTGATAATTGCATAATAAAATTCTAATGCATTATCAAAGAGTAATATATTGAAATATTAGTTATTAGTGTTTTCGCCTTCCTCAATATGTTTGTATTTAACATGTAGAAGTGGAATGTAAATATCTATTTGGTGTTTAGGATGGTTTGCAAGAGAATGAAATTATTCGTGTGAGATAGATAGATGGAATATTCACTTTCTGTGCTTTAAAGTGCAAGAATTATTTTCTTCTGCTTCATCTTCAATGAAATTATTAAATGATGTTGATTTCAACTTCCCTGATTTTGTTTTGGCAAGGAAGTGGACTAAGTCCTGTGTGATTCTAAATAAGAATATTTTTGGGGAGGTGGGAAGTGATTTAAGAGATAAGACTATCACAGTTTTGTTTATAATCAACTTGGAAAGATTTTTGTTTCTGTAGTATTTTCTTTGTGAACTTTTGTAGAGGTACCTTGGTTTGTTCTTCTGTTTCTAAAATACAAACCTTAATATAAATTGGCTCTTCAGAGTAAATGAACACTATCAGGTGGTGAGATAAGAACAAATAGTTTAACTGGTTAAATGAAAAAATTATTAGATGCTAATGTTGATTTCTCTTTTCGTGTGTCCACTTAGTAACTAATTGCAATAAAACCTCAGGTCCACATTGTTGGAGAACATTGTACTAGATTTCTGCTCTAGAAAAATGGTAGATTACTATCACTTCCTAGGCCAGCATTAGTCTTCCTTACACCCAACAAATGAGTGTTGAGTTAATTGTGACTCCTGTACCCTCATTGCCATTGTGTTTGAACTAACTTATAGTTGATCCTCCATTGCATTTCTGAGGCTGTAAATCTCAAGAAGAGATTGATTCTCTTTCTCCCAAAGAGCTGCTGGGAGAGTCCAACCTCTAGAGAGACTTGTCCTTGGAATTAGCATCCTGACTCCCTACATACTCTATTACCAGAGGCCACTTAGGGCAACTCTGTAGGACACAGGAAAAGTACTCCATATTTCTAAGGGGGTAATTTTCAGAATGACTGTTGGGTTCAAACCCTAGCAATAGTGCACTTAACCACTTGTCATCAGGGCTCCTTTAAAATGCTTTCTGCCTTCTTAAGATCTTGGTTGAATCCAATTTCTGTTGCAATACTTGGAGTCTATACAGTTGGACAGTCAATGTCCTCCTACAGCCAATGCAATCTCCTCTTTCAACCTCATTCCTTCTTACCCGAGATCAATCAAATATTCTCGTATATTTGTGCTTTCCCTGTGTTTTACACAATATTCTGCCTCTCAGGCTCTCTTTCTTCCCCATCACCATTCTTCAAATGTGCTTCTTCACGTCCAACAAGAAACTATTTCTGCAACACTGACCTCACTCAACTCATAAATAAATCTCTGAAGCTTCATCTATTTATTCTACCATACATTTTTATTTTTCTACTTGTTTTAAAATAATTTGGCTGTGAAAGCTATTTTTAGTTCTAGACTAAATTTTTCATACTAATGCCATGTTTTAAGCACATTGTTATTTTTTTTGCTGGCAATAAACTTACTGATTTGTAGATAGACAGTTTAAAGGACAGTAACTGCTAGATCCATTTCATCATTTGTGGAGTTCCATTCAGGGGTCATGGAGTCATGGTGGTGCATAAATTAAGACACTTAACAGCTGCTTACTGAAAGGCCAACCCACCAACTATTCTGCAAGAAAATGATGTCATCTTCTACAAAGATTACAAGAATACTTTGATTCGAGTGTTCTTACCAATTTTGTGATTACTAGTCATGTAGTTTGACCCTCTCTTTTTTATTATATGGAGCCAAGGATTCTGAGGCTCCGTCTAACTTACTTTGGACATGTTGTGAGGAGAGACCGGTCCTTAGAGAGGGACATCATGCTTGGGAGGGTGGAGGGAGAGCGCAGGAGAGGAAAGCCCTCTATGAGGTGGATTGATTCAGTGACAGGGATAATTGGGATGGGAGTGTCAGAGACAGTGCGATTGGCACAGGACAGAGCGGAGTTTAGGGCTGTTGTACATAGGGTCGCTATGAATAGTCGCAAGCGACTCGATGGCACATAACAACAACATCTTAGAAACAACAGTACATATCAGTATCCAAAGGTGATGGGAAATGCTGGCAGCAAGCAAATGTTAATTATTATTATCAGCAACAAAGACTCCGTGTTTTGCTGTGTTGGAACATTTGTGTTTACTTTAGAAAACATGAAATAAAGGTACAAAAGAGAAACGACTCAATAGGGTTAAAGGGCCAGAATCATAATTTGATATGTTGTTGTTGTTGTTATGTGCCGTCGAGTTGCTTGCGACTCATAGTGACCCTATGTACAACAGCCAAAAATTCCGCTCTGTTCTGTGCTAATCGCACTGTCTCTGACACTCCCATCCCAATTATCCCAGTCACTGAATCAATCCACCTCATAGAGGGCCTTCCCCTCCTGTGCTGCCTCTCCACCCTCCCAAGCATGATGTCCTTCTCTGAGGACCAGTCTTTCCTCACAACATGTCCAAAATATGTTAGACGGAGCCTCAGAGTCCTTGCCTCTAAGGAGCCACCCATTTTAACCCTTTCTAGGATGAATCTGTTTGTTTTCCTAGCAGTCCATAGTACTCTTAATACTCTTCTCCAGCACCACAGCTCAAAGGCATCAATTCAACTTCTATCCTCCATCATCATTGTCCAACTCTCTGATGCATAACAAGTGATTGCAAAGATCATGGCCTGTATCAGATGCACCTTAGTCTCCAGAGAGACACCATTGCTCTTCAGTACTTTGGAGAGGTCCCTAACAGCAGACTTTCCAATGGCAATGTGCCTTTTAATTTCCTGGCTGCTGGTGCCAAGAGTGTTGACTGTGGAGCCAAGCAAACTAAAGCTGTGAACAATCTCAATCTCTTCACCATCCATCCTGATGCTGCCAATTGGTCCAGTGGTAAGATAGCTTCTGGAAAATAAGCCAGATAACTGCCAGAGTTACTCAATGTTTCTCTTCTTGGAGCATGTTTACTCTGATACCATGGTTGGCATTACCATCTATGCCCACAGGTACATTAGAATGCAGCTGCTGTATGGCTACTGAAAGGCACTTGTTGGCAGTAAGCCTTCTGTTGGCCTTAACTTATGGTAGTGGTGATAATGATGATGATGGTGAGCCTTTATTTCCATTACTTGTCCATTATTAAAGACCTAGGAAGTCATGTTTAGCAAATAAGCTTCTCAAGCCAGTCTAAGGACCTCAGAGGTCTTCCTGTATGCACTTGGGGTTTTGGAGGTAGGGAAATAAACCGTCTATTCTCACTTGTGCAGTGTGGTTAATCTTTTGGAATGACAAATGTACTACTATGGCATCCCTATCCCCGTGCTCTGAAGATCAGGATTTGTTTTCCTGATCACAAGGTTTCCCTCTTGTGTTGAAGGGTGATAGGAAACAAGGAGACTGTCCACGTGGTTATAATACACATCACCATCTTAATAGTAGTTAGGCGAGAAAGCAGCATGGAGGGTGGTCACGTAGGATGAGATTCTAGGTCACACAGGATGAGTGTACAGG